TGTTGTTTCACTATGCAAACTGCGGCTCGCCAGGCTCCCCCGGGGCTGCTGCAGGGGTGGGGTGGGAGTTGGGGTGTGTGCAGCTCCTAATGTTTATACCTCATTTTGGTTGTCAAGGTTGTAGTCAATTTACTGGACCTCCATAACCCTGGAACAGAGAGGCCTTACTTCTGGAAACGGGACGAGGTCGTCAGGAACAGTGTCCCTGGGGCAAGCAGAGCTCACCTTTTGGTTCCCTTCGCCTCCGTTGAGGTGATTCGGACCTTTGAGGCTGCTGAGTGCTAAGTGCCGTGTGTGTAATGTGTGTGTGTGTGTGTGTGTGTGTGTGTAGTTGTTTGAACCGTAATGGCCCCAACTGCAGGTCCTGTCTGATGGGCAGGAAATTGCTCGCAGATGGTGACCCCTCCCCCACCCAGGATGAGATTCTGCCTGGGATGTAGGGGACCACTCCCCTCTGCTGGATGAAGAGAGATTTGCTCTCAATGAAGAGAATTCTATGAGCATCTTTCTAGAGGACACCCGAGTAAAAGAGGCCACGGCGTTACCTCACTTTACAAATGGGTGTATGAGCAGGCTCTAAAACATTTTATTAAGCACCTACTATGTGCTGGCACAGTGCTAAATGTGAGATATGAAGGTGAATAGGACGGTACTGCAAACCAAATCCTTGTAAAGTGAATCACACTGTCATTGTATGGGAGCCCAGAATTTCAGAGCTCAGGGGGAATTTGAGGGTACCCCCAACGGAAATAAACAGGATTTGGGGTAGAGAGCAGTTGGTACTCCAGGAAGACGAAGTTCTAGGTCCACGTGGAAAGCAGGATGTGCTGTCAGAAATAGGGATGGAGAAATCACGGTAAAGAGGTAGTTTGTGGGGGGGAAATGCATTTAGTTTTACTCATGCTGCTTCTGAGATGCCAACAGAATACCCTAAGAGAGATATGCAGAGGGGATGAGGATGGCACTGAAGGCTGGGAGAGGCCAGAGCTGGCAGTGAGGGCCTGAGATCACGCCCTGACGAGTGGCCACTGAAACAGCAAATGGAACAGCAGGCAAATGGAACCTCAGAGGAAGAGGACAGGTGAGGGCAGCAGCTGGCCAGACTCATTCACGCCCAGTAGTTGAGAGGGTGAGAGAGACAGGCGTCCTGAGAACTGGATGGATTACTCTCCTCGGGCTAACAAGGCGGCTCATATCCCCACAGTCTGGAGGCTGGAAGTCCAAGATCTAAGTGTCGCAGGGTTGGTTTCTTCTGGCTCATAAACACACATACCATTGATTGTCAAATATTCAAAGAAAAGCTGTTCGCATTGTATTAAAAAAAAAAACCACATTTTTATTGATTTCAGAAAGGAAGGGATAGGAGAGAGATAGAAACACTAATGATGAGAGAGAATCATTGATCAGCTGCCTCCTGCATGCCCCCTACTGGGGATTGAGCCCACAGCCCGGGTATATGCCCTTGATCGGAATCAAACCTGAGACCCTCTTTCCACTGAGCCAAACGGGGTAGGGCCATGTGTTATAGTTTTTGCCAACAAAAACCTCATGATTTCAAATAAGTATATATTTCAATTACCTTTTCTCAGAGGGCATTTTAAATAGATGGTAATTCTTGAGTCTCTGGGATCTCTGAATATCATTTTATTTTATCTAAAAATGTTTTTATTGATTTCAGAGAGGAAGGATGAGGGAGAGATAGAAACATTAATGATGAGACTCATTGATTCGCTGCCTCTTGCAAGCCCAATACTGGGGATCGAGCCTACAACCGGGCATGTGCCCTGACTGGTCATTGATCCATGATCTCCTGGTTCATAGGTCAGCACTCAACCACTGAGCTATGACAGCCGGGCTCTCTGAATATCACTTTAAATTCAAACTTGTTTAGCAATCCAACACTGCTGTGGAGGGAACAGATTCTTTTATTTATAAAACAGAGACTACGTACTTTAACTGCTAAAAATGAACTGTTTACAGTTACTTAAACTTCAGCTTCTACTATCGTTTCCTACTAAACAGGGATTTTTTTAAAATTTCAAAAACGAACTAATCCTTCTCAGCTTTGGCCACTGGCCTGGTCAGCATTCTGAATGCTTCCAGGTTCAGACAAAGCTATTGCCAATGTGACCGATTCCCTCTGGGGACGAGCTTCATCTACTTAATGGGGGACAGGACAGCTTCCGAGGGGAGTGATCTCGTGGTTTACACTCTGCCTGGTCCCTGGACCATCACTTCCAGGACATGCCTAAGGGCGGGAGAGTACAGTCGGGGGTCTGGGAAGGCTTTTCTTAGAGAGAGCCTGTCCTGATGGGTGACTGAGGTGGTCTTCGGTTACTGGCTGGTGAGTGCACCATCTTCCCTGCAGCGATGAGCTTATAAATGACAGAGCCTCATTTTGAAATTCCTAGTCTGTGGTTTTATTCTCCAAATCTGGAAGACCATTGTTAAGACTCTAGTGCAGGGGTCGCCAACCGGTGATCCTTGGACCACTGGGGGTCCGTGAGGTCCGAAAGGTTGGCGACCGCTGGTCTAGAGTAACCCAGATGCAGGGGTAGCAGAGGCAGCCGTTAGCAGTGCTTTTCAAACTTGAATGTGGTTGTGAATCACCTGGGGATTTCGTTAAAAATGCAGGTATCGCCCTGGCCAGGTGGCATGGTTGGGTGGAGCGTTGTCCCACCCACCAAAAAGGTTGCATTTTCCATCCCTGGCCAGGGTGGGTGCAGGAGTCAAATGGATCCATGTTTCTCTCTCATATCGCTATTTCTCTCCTCTAAAATAAATGAATCAATAAATCAATAAAAGCATATCCTCTGGTGAGGATTAAAAAAAAATGCACATATTGACTTAGTGGGTCCAGGATGGGGGCTGGTATTCTGCATTTCTAGTGAGCTGCTAGCTGATACCAATGCTGCTCATGCTAAGGACCACTCTTTCCCTGATGCCTTTTTTTTTTTTTTTTAATGTATTTTTATTCATTTCAGAGAGGAAGAGAGAAACATCAATGTTAAGCGAGAATCATTGATCGGCTGCCTCCTGCATGCCCCACATGGGAGATTAAGCCCTCAACCCGGGCATGTGCCCTGACTGGGATCGAACCTGGGACCCTTCAGTCTGCAGGCCGACGCTCTATCCACTGAGCCAAACCAGCTAGGGCTCCCCTAATGTCTTTCCCATTGCTATCTGGGGGCAACGAAGCTAAGCTCCATCGTTTTAGGTGTACAGTTCTGACCCCCACATTTTCCCATGGATGTCATCTCAGACTGAGACCTTGTGAGGCATCTAAGGGCCAACGTGGGAAGTCCCCCTTCTGGCCGGATGGGGCTATGGTGTCTGTGGGAAGGCGAGGCTGCAAAGGAACTGGGGAAAACTAGAGATGCTGTGACCTCCAGGCAGAAGAGGAGGCCTCTCCATACGGAGCGGGGTGGGAGGCTGGTCCTTGGAGCTGAAACTCGGCAAACGTCAATGAGGCGTTTGTCTAGGAACATTAGGGCTTAGCGTGTTATTAAGCTTTTTCACTTTCTAATTTCTGCCTTGTAGTAGTCCTGTGCCATCATGGAGGGGCCGAGTCCCTCCTCACAGGGCTCGCTCACTTCTTTCTCCAGGGACACAGGTTAGGTCCTGTGCCTGTGGAGGGACCCACTTCCCACCTGTCCTGGTAGGATCTGGCTTCGGCCTGCGCACCGCTGTCTTCCATGTCTGGCCCACTGTGATGCTTCCCTTGTTTCTGAGCTGTTATTTCTTCTTAAAGCCTTTCTCTTTAAAACTACTCTTGCTGTGTAGAGTGGAGACTTCCCTGTGTCATCTGACCCGAGCAAGGGAGGGCTGTGGTTCTGTATGTGGGTGTTCTGCGCTGCTGTTGTAAAGCATGTAAGCAAAGGGTCAGGGCACTGGAAAAACCTGTCCTCTGATTGAGCAGGACCTGGGAGTGGGTACCGGCTTGCTTTTACCGTGTTAAACACCCACTCGTAGCGAAGGTGAGAATGGGAAGCAACTCGGGGGAATCCGGCCGTGCCTCAGAGCAGTTGAGACAACTGTTCTTTACTTAAGGTTGAGTTGCTCCATCTGTGGGGTCCCTAGGAGTGAGGGATGTCCCGTGTCTTGTCCTCAGCACTTCCCTACACGCTGCCTTTGGAGAAAGCGAGGCTCCACGGGAGAACTCGCATTCAGAGCAGGAATAATCATGCTTCTCTTAGGGCCGTGGTCAGCAAACTGCGGTTCGAGAGCCACATGCGGCTCTTTGGCCCCTTGAGTGTGGCTCTTCCACAAAACACCACGGCCCGGGCGAGTCTATGTTGAAGAAGTGGCGTTAGAGTTAGTTTTAAGTTTAAAAAGTTTGGCTCTCCAAAGAAATGTCAATCGTCGTACCGTTGATATTTGGTTCTGTGGATGGATGATTTTGCCAGCTGCTGTCTTAGGGGGCAAGAACTGAATCATAATTGATGTTTCCCAAAACTGGTTTTAGGATGCTCACGTAAAAGAACACCAGGCAGCCTTTTTACTCCTGATCTTTCACTTGCTTCCTGCCTTTACTTTAAAATAGGGCCCAGGAAAAAAAAAAGTATTATTGCATTGCATGAATTTACAGAAGTTATCTTAAAGTCCTTCTGCAAGAAGGTTCCCTTATTTTCCCACTGGCCTGGGCGGAGGCTCCGTGTGGAGCTGGTTCATGCGGGAAACGTGCACAGCGCGGTCCTCACCAGCCTCCCACCCGTGTACGGAGGCCGGACTCCGGCTGACGCAGGCCGGGCAGCCCGGGGCCTCCCCCTGGACTCCGCTTACTCACCATCCCGGCCTCCCGGCTCCCTCCTTCCCCGCACACCTGCCCGGTCCCGGCCCGGCCCCCTTCTCTCCACCGCGCCCCAGCCTATGGCTCCCCGAGGCCCCGCCTCTTCCGGCCGCCGGGAGGGCGGGCGGCCGGGCCGGGCTGGGCGGGCGGCGAGGGGCGGGCCGGGCCGGCGAGTCGGAGCGTCCCGGGCCCGCGCCCCGGCCGGCCGGCCATGCTCATCACGCTGTGCTACCTGTACCTGTGGGCGCGCTGGGGGCGCCGGCCGGCCGCGCTCGTGCGCATCACGGTGCAGCGGCTGCGCGCCTCGCGCTGCTCCTTCACCTTCTGCGTGGCGGCCGCGCGGCCCCCGGAAGCCCGCGTGTGCCTCAGCCGCGGCGGCCGCGTCTTCTGCGTCGGCGAGAGCCAGGTGGGCGGGCCGCGGCGGGGGCGCGGGCGGGGCGGGGCCTGCGGGCGGGGCGGGGCACCAGCGGTGGGCGGGGCCTGGGCGGGGCAGCTCTGGCGCGGCAGGGGCGGGGCCTGCGGGGGACGAATCACCAGCGGTGGGGCGAGGTCTGGGGGCGGGGCCTAGGGGCGGGGCACCAGCGGAAGGGGCGGGGCACCAGCGGGGTGGGCGGGGCCAGCCGGAAGCGCCAGCCTGGGCCGCTCCTACCTTCTGCCCGCCACCCCGCCCGCCCTGTGAGGTGGGAACCTGGGAGAGCCCTCCGCCCGGGGCGCCTGGAAGTGCCCGGCCGGGGCCCCTGCACGCGGTGCCCACGGAGCCCGGGCTAAGGGGACCAGAGGTCCGAACACTGACTGGGCGCGGGGCGAGTTCACGGACGCCGGGCTCCTGGTTCCAAAAGAGGCGCATTCCTGTGCGATCGCGATGGCCGCTGGCACCGGAGCCCGAGAGCGCTGCCCACGGAGTCTCCCGCCGGCCGCCCTCCCCCGTGGGCTGCAGCCCCGGTGGATGAAATCAGAGGAAGACAGCACATCCCGGCTTTCTGTCAGACATCGGGGGACAGAAACTCCTGCCCTCCTCTCCTGTCAGTTGTCATTTACCAGCGGGGCCTTCGCACCTGTTTTATTCCCTTTTGCACAGTCTTTGCTTTTTTGGCCCAGTGCTTCGCCTGGTGGCTACAAGTGCAGCCGCGCTGTGGCTTGATCTCAGCAAAAGCTCTGCTGTCTGTGAAAGGAACTCCAGTTCTTCCCGCCCCGCTGTTGGAAATGGACTTGACTCACAGTGTGGTTCAGCGCAGATTTCCATGGAAGTCACCGATACTGCTCTCATGAATATTTCAAAGTGTTTTGCTTTTCATTGGTTTCATGCCCTTTCCTTCTGGAAAGTTGGCTCATTTTTAGCATGAAAACGAGATTTTCTACGTGTGTAAAACCATAACACCCGAATGGGAAGATGTTATCTCAGGTCTGGAATATTTTGTTGAGGTGAGGCTTAAGTACAGGATTGTACTGTTCTGCTAGCAAACCAAAAACCAAAAATACCCACCCTTGTTCGTTGCTGTGACACGGAACCCTAGTATATGCGTAACTACGTCTCAGATCGCCCAAAGAGAGCGCCTGTCTGGTACCACCTAGATCAGTGGTGGACAAACTCATTAGTCCACAGAGCCAAAAATCAACAGAACAATGATTGAAATTTTTTTTGAAAGCCACATTTTTTAATCTTAAGCTTCTTCTAACGCCACTTTCTTCAAAATAGACTTGCCCAGGCCGTTGTATTTTGTGGAAGAGCCACACTCAAGGGGCCAAAGAGCCGCATGTGGCTCTCGAGCCGCAGTTTGCCGACCTCGGACCTAGATGCAAAGGAGTGAAGTTCAGCCGAAACCGGTTTGGCTCAGTGGTAGAGCGTCGGTCTGCGGACTGAAAGGTCCCGGGTTCGATTCCGGTTAAGGGCTTGTACATTGGTTACAGGCACATCCCCGGTGAGGGGTGTGCAAGAGGCAGCTGGTCGATGTTTCTCTCTCATGGACGTTTCTAGCTCTCTATCCCTCCCCCTTCCTCTCTGTAAAAAAATCTATAAAATATATTAAAAAAAAAAAAAAGGAGTTAAGTTCATTCACTACATATGGTGGACGCCTGAGGGCTTGATTCTCTCAAGGAACCCTGACTGAGAAACAAGTCCAAGTGGGGGAAATGGGGAGGTGGACTTTTCTGTTGCACTAGCTTCCACACTGATTGTTTACTTTAAAAATAACCTTCAGATTGGACATTTTGAACACTCAAAAATATTCAGAGGTAAATGTCTTTAATTTTCTTGAAAAACAGTTTTACTCTTTTATCCTCACCTGAGGATATGCTTTTTGACTTTAGAGAGAGAGGAAGGGGGTGGGGAAGGGAGGAAGAGAGAGAAACAGATCGGTGCCTCTTAGTCCGATCCTTGTTTGGTGTCGAACCTGCAGCTTGGTGGGAGCCCTGACCCAGAATGGAACCTGCAGCCTTTGGTGTACAGGCCGTCCCTCCAACCCACTGAGCCGCCCGGCCAGGACGTTCTGCTTTTGAACACCTTCATGACTTGACTGGCCTTCTGCTAACTTCCATGACTGTAACCAAAGCTCTTCAGCCCTTGTCCACCGCTCCGACCAAACCTGCCTCAGGCTTTCAAGGGGTTCCATGCCCCTAGTTCTGTGCATAGCTCACTGTGCCCCGATCTTCAGTCAGATGTCACTGTCTCCCCTGCCGGACTAGATGGGACCGGCCTGCTCTGTGCCCTCAGAGTTTAAATCACAGTTCATCTTTCTAGTTTTTCATTTTTTATTTTATTGCACGTGCTTTTATTTTTCTTATTTTTTTAGATATGTTTTTAAAGCTATCATGGATGATGGAAATGGAAGGACAGCCCTCTGGGCTAGGCTTCCATTAGCAACAGGCCTCTAACTACTAGGATATGTTTTTATTGATTTTAGAGAGAGGAAGGAAGAAGGAGAGAGAGATAGAAACATCAATGATGAGAGAGAACCATCCATCGGCTGCCTCCTGCACACCCTCCACTGCGGATGGAGCCTGTAACTCAGGCATGTGCTCTGACCTGGAATTGAACCGTGACCTACTAGTTCATGGGTCAGTGCTCATCCACTGAGCCACACTGGCTGGGCTCTGAACATCATCTTTAAAAGTCCCTCCAAGCCCTAGCTGGTTCTGCCTGTGGACCAAAGGGTCCTCGGTTTGAGTTCAGTCAAGGGCACCTACCTCAGTTGCGGGCTCCTCCCCAGCCCAGGCCCTGGTCAGGGTGCGTGTAGGAGGCAACCCATCGATGTGCTCCTCTCACATGGCTGTTTCTCTCTGTTTCCCCTCTCTCTTCCACTCTGAAAATCGATGAAAATATATCCTCGGGGGAGGGTTAACAACCAACACACGTCCCTCCCTCCTCCTGCTCTGAACCAGCGGTGGCCAAACTGTCTGACCTCCCGGACCACCGCCTGGCGACCGCTGCTCTGAGCCAAGCACGTGGAGCTCGCAGCCAGCGGGCCGAGGGCCTCCTTTCCTCTAACCCGGTGGTTCCCAACCTTCCTGACGCCGCGGCCCTTTCACGCAGCTCCTCATGTGGTGGTGCCCCCAACCATAGAATATTTTTGTTGCTCCTTCATCACTGTAATGTTGCTGCCGTCATGGACTGTAATGTAAATATCTGTGTTTTCCGATGGTCTGAGGCTCCACAGCATCGGTTCTCAACCTGTGGGTAGTGAGTGGCTTTAGGAAGGGTGAGAACCACTGCTCTACACAGTCAAGAATAGTAGCAACAAGCCCGGAGTGAGAATGGATTAGTTGATTGGTTTCTGGAGCTGTGGAAGCTGCCCCGAGTCCTCGGGGGGAGTCCGGACCAGGCGGAGGGGGGCTGGGGGGACTCCGCTGAGCTCACAGCCCCGGGGGGAGCGAGGGGGTGTTGGATGTTGAGTGAAGTGGCGGTTGTGGTTTGAAGCGACATTAAACCCTTTGTCGGTGTTTTCCTTCTCTCCGTCCAGTCCATCGAGGACCTGAACACGTGGGCCCTGTACCTCGTTTCTCCTCGCGTCCTGGAAGCGGAGCACATTGCGTTTGTGACGGAGAGCGTGTGGGTGCGGGCGGAGGATCTGCGGCGGCCGTCTCCCCGGACAGAGGCCGTGAGTAGCGGGTCTCACCTGCTGGCTGTAAGGGAACTGGGTCTTAATTAGAGCAGAATTCGTTGTCTGATGAGGGCTTTTTCCTGGCCTTTCTTCCTGGATGTTTGGGGGTAAATGAAAATATGTAAGTGAAATTACTTTCCTCTGTTTAAATTTTTTATTTTGTTGATCCTCACTGAAGGATATTTTCCCATTGATTTTTAGAGAGAGTGGAGGGAGGGGAGAGACAGGTGATGTGAGAGAGACACATCCATTGGCTGCTTCCCGCACAGGCTCCGACCAGGGCCAGGGATTGATCCTGCTCCTTGCCGGAATCGAACCCGGGACCCTTCAGTTCACAGGCCGACCGATGCTCTATCCATTGCGCAAAACCACCGAGGGCCGTGGTCGGCAAACTGCAGCTCATTGAGCCATGGCTCTTTGGCCCCTGGAGTGTGGCTTTTCCACAAAAAACCACGGCCTGGGTGAGTCTATTTTGAAGAAGTGGCGTTAGAAGAAGTTTAGGTTTAAAAAACGTGGCTCTCCAAAGAAATTTCAGTCATTGTCCTGTTGATATTTGGTTCTGTGGACGAATGAGTTTGCTGACCACTGGCCTAGGGCAAAACATTTATGTAGTTTTATTACTTTTTAAAACGTGGCTGCTGGAACATGTGAAGCTCCCGTGTCTGCGGCCACACCGTGCTATTGGGCAGCACGGCTCAGTGTCCCCAGGCCGTTCCGTCCATCCAATGCCAAACCTTGGAGGCTGGGAGCGGTCCTGAGAGCCATGAGTGGCCGAAAAGGACCAGGGCCTGGGACATGCAAGCTCAACCACCAGTGTCCGGGCTGCAGGGAGGAGGGGACACGTCTGCTGATTCTCAGCTGACGGGGCTCTTTCGTCTCATGGGTTTGGGGCAGAAGATGGAAGCTGTTTTGAAAGAGTTTACACTGGCCATCAATAACGGGGCGGGGGTGGGGTGGGTGGGGGGCAACTGTACCTCTGAGAGGCAACTCCAGTCCTGGTTGGTCGTGGGTAAGAGTCTGGAAAGTTCATGCATGAGCAGGACGTGGTGGTGGCTGGCAGCTGGCATTTATTTCTTTCTTTCTGATAGCTGCCTAGAAGATGATTCAAATATATATTTTTAAAATATATTTTATTGATTTTTTTACAAAGAGGAAGGGAGAGAGGGATAGAGAGCTAGAAACATCGATGAGAGAGAAACATCGACCAGCCGCCTCCTGCACACTCCCCCCACCCCCACCAGGGATGTGCCCGCTACCAATGTATATGCCCTTGACGGGAATCGAACCTGGGACCTTTCAGTCTGCAGAC